TGGCAGACAGAGTCATCGCCCCCCCCCCCCCAAATATAAATATCAGTCATGCCCACCAACATGCAAGATTAAAATGTGAAACAAGTAAGAGGTGTGCATGATAAACATCTCCAGAGGGCAGAATTTCACCATCAGACTCTTCTGTATTAGTTGCATTAGGTCTGTCCCAAAGCCCTGTATGGCAACATTAGGATAGCCTTGCCAGGTAGCCTGGTGAGTTAGATGCTTGAAAGGCTTAGATTTATCATCATTGAGCACCGCCATGGACCAGGAAAATGGTTAACTGAGGGTTTAACAGGGAGAAAATGGCGGTAAATAAGTTCTGTGCTTTAAATTATCTCCTTCATTCCCTGTGAACTGTTCACTCTTGGGTGCATATCAAAGGTATTTGGGCGGCTGGCAAATTAATCCAATTTATATATGAAATAGGTACGAGCTTGCAGTTGGAGCATCCTGCAGAGAGATTACTCAACATTTTAAGCAGCAGGTGGTCCCTCTAAAAGGATCAAAAAGAGAGGAAGAATAAAGTGGTATCACACTTGTATGATACCAAGAAAAACAAAAGTAGTGAAAGAAATACAAAGACTGATACTTTTCTGGCAAAATTTTGTTATCAGCTGATTTGACTTAAAGTTTGTTAACATGAGTGCTCAAATGGTGATATTCATCTTGTAAATTTAATTTAGAAGACCTTTCTTGAATTTTTCACTCATGCATTTCGGGAGTGATGCAATTTGGTGGTGAAATTTCCCCGAGAAAAAAGAAGTATGTGGAATAAAATTATCTACCAGGCCTTGCTGGTCTTTGCACCAAGCCCTGCTTTCGTGGTATGGTGGTGAGAACAAAAGAATAGGGGATGCGTGAAAACATTGCATTTGGCACACAGCTGCTGATTGTGATGCATTTTGTAAACAAACCAAACTCAATGCGTGCAAGCGGTTGGAGTCGCTGGGGTTCTTGGGCTTTGAGGTACCTGGCGCCCTTGCTCTGTGCATACATAGACATGATTCAGATTAGGTGAGGCAGGACATAGCCATAGGTATCCAGGTTCTGTGGAGCTTCGTTTATGCTTGGTGGTTTCAAGTGAGCTCGGTTTGGATGGTATCTGAAGACCTCAGAAAGGGAAATAGGGGTTTGGCATATGCGAATAGATGATGTCAGGCAGGAGTGAAAAATTCACATAAAATATGGAGAAAAGGAGTGAAAAATTCCTCCTCATAGGTTGTTGCTTTACACCCAAAGTCGGCAATTCTAGGACAATGGCAGAACTTGATCACAAAAGTTGAATGTACTGCAATAGTTGGCACAAGACGTCGTGCCGTCTGACAAGAACCAACCTTCCTTTGTGACTACTGCCATTGGCTGCAGGTCACAACTGTCAAGGGCAAAAGTTAGTGCCTGAGACAACTCAAACCCACCCCACCACTGATGGATGGATTGGTAGGCAAGGTGTGCTAACTGATAGACAGAGAGGCTACAAAAATGCTGTGATGGCACTTGAGTGCCCATCTGCCAAACATAACGCCTATCCTGATAGTCCAGGGGGTCAGTGGGCTAGAGTACCTGCCTACACCATGGAGGGAAGGGTTGAAGTGGATTTTAGGTGCATGCTGTGCACTTCTGATCGGGATGGCCTGTGGCAGGTGGTGGGGACTGAGCTATTAGGTTAGGTGATGAGAATATATGAGCTGAGATGAAATATGTCAAGATGTTGACAGTGATATCTGACATGCAAAGGCTCAAGTTTTTTTCAGACAGCATGAATGAGATTAAAACACAGCTCAGAGCACCACTCTAAGAAACTCTGATTAAGGGTTTCTCAGTCTGAACATCAGGGGCTCACCAGGGTTTCAAACTGTCAGCTGCACACATCAGGAATTGTTGCCTGTGGCTGTCTGAATTGTCCCGGAACCAAACCATATCAATCTCATACAAGGAAGGTTTCAAGCAGTTTTTTCCATGCAGTGTGACATTTAAGCATCTTGATCTGGCTAATTAGGCAATTCATGGAATGCTCATTTGTGGTAGCCTATGTTGGGAATCAGACCATTTTGCTCTTTTCTGATATGAAGATGCATGAAGGATGCCTGTCAGTTGGATTTTGGGGTGCCTTCCTTTGAGCTTGGCATGACAAGTGTGTGTTGCATGCTTGGCAAATGGTGGCAGTGGCAGGGCCAGAGTTGACAATTTCAGGAGCATAAAGAATAGTCCAGATGTATGAATTTTGGGACATGTACATGGTAATTATTTTTGAGGCAGGGCTGGTGCAAAAATGAAGTTATTTTTTTTTAGTTGAGGTACTTCCTGAAGTGGGACAGATCATGCTATTTAGGGCCAGTGGTGAGCTGCATTGTGACAGTTATTATGGTGAGAAGGCATATTTTGGAGCGAACAGAAGTCATCCTAGGCATTTCATCGCCATGGTTTGCATACTGGCCTGCCTGCAGCAGCCTGACTGCCAAGGCTGTGTGTACATACCGTGGAACAGCTGGGATGATAATGCATTCAGAGATAAGCGGTTCTGGTGACACTTTGAAAGTTTCCTTTATTTGCAATGCAAAGTTGTCACATGATGAAATTGCATAGCAGAACCTAGATCATGTGTAAGGTATTTTGTGGCTAGATCTGACAAGTTATGAGAGAAGAATATTTTTGTGTAATTTCTGAGAACCCCACTTCATACTGCAACCTTCAAGATTTCACAATCAAGATCAGGTTATGATACAAGTGTGCACTTTGCTAGTTAGTATTTGTGTTGCATGTTTATAAACTGCCAGGATTATGAAGACAGTTCCAATCATGAGAACTGTGCAAACTCTGCAAAACTCTTCAAACAAACAGGTGCAAATTGCCCTGGCCCCAGAGTGTGGGCCTTGAATGACATCACTCAGAATATCTGCCTCTGATTTATGATGTGTTTGGGTGCTTCCATTAACATTCTTAACTTGTTGCCACTCTTGCTTGCAGGGGAGATACACACGTACACTGCCAGCACTGTCAGCCCGCCCGGTGCTCAGAGATGTCTGACAAGGATGAAATCCCTCTGGGGAGCTGCTAGCCAAAGTATCATTCCCCTTGTACACCATCAAGGCGCTGTCCGGTCAGCACATCCTTGTGGCGGGTGGTGGCGGCTCGGCGAAGACCGGAGTGGCCAATGGATTTGTGAGTATTCTGGGCACAAACACATTCGCATGTCCGTGAGTTTGTTGCATGTGGTCATTGGTTCCTGGCTTCCAAGATATGATTACCTGCTGTACTGAATAAAAAATGTGCTGGTATGCTTCATATCTTAAAGAAATTTGCTAGTGACAACCAGGAAAATACGAGGAAAAAATCGAAACAACTAGAGTGATGACCACCAATGTTTGATCACCTGAACATCATTCTATCTCATGACAGCATGTAACTGAGCTCTGCTGGAACAGCTTCTCGTCACATCATCGGCCCCTTAAAGTTGCTCCTCCCCCGCCAGCAAATCTTCGAGCTGACGCACTCGGGCAAGCCAGACGGAGGCAGAAGAGGTGGCCTGGCACGAGACCGGCAACAAGGCCATCATGAACTGCGTGGCGTTCTCGTACGGCCGTCAGGAAGTGCTGGCCGCAGGGCTCGACGACGACCTCCAGCTGTACCAGATCAGCCGCAAGCTCGTGGAGGAGGACAAGGAGGGACACGTCCTGCCCGACGAAGGTCAGCTGGACGCCGCCGATGGGGAGCGCTTGGCCCCGCAGCCGTGCGTGGAGGGGGAAGTGGGCGCTCGTTGGTGTTTGTGTGCTAGTGCGGTCAGCAAGCGCCGTTGTGCTTTTATGTGAGATATCGAATCTTTGACTTCGTTAATTGATTTCTGAATCGGTTTGTGAGGATGTATGTTGGTCTGTGGGCATGCACGTTGGTTCGGGGCGATTGTAAATATGCTTCGTAATTGGATTTATTCATGCTGTCCTATGCTTGACCATGAACACTTGTGTTTATTGTTCGCAGTGGCACTTGGCTGTCGGGCCTCCGCATTCGCCCGTGGATGTATGAGTTTGTTAGACAATCTATCGACACATGTACCCGCCATCATGACGATCCTCGCTGCCCCCGCATGCTGGCAGAGCCAGGGCTCCGCGGCATGCACAGTGCTTGGACGCGCGTTGTTGGGTGGTCTCGCGTGGGGATCCGTACGGGCCGGCGCCCGCTGTGCTGACGGATACCGGACGGCCCGCCCTCTGCCGCGCAGACAAGTTCGTGCAGACCCGGCGGCGCAGGAAGAGCGAGTCGCTGAGCAACAGTCAGGAGGGCCGCTTCTTCAGGAAAGGACGCCACCCGTCCGGCAACAAGAGGATCGGCTTCAACATCACCACGCAGGAATCCGTCCGCACCGATTTCAAGTGAGCCGCCCCCTTGTGCTTCGGTCGCAGTCGCAGGCTGTTTTGGCGCAGGGCCATTGTGTTCGCCGTTTTTTCCGTCTCTTGCCGGGATTCCAGTCCGTTCTGCCGCCATCCCAGGTGGTTCCTCCACCGTCAAGGGCTGTGCTGCCTCGGTTTTAGGGTGTGGTACCACCGCCCCGGTCTCCCGCCACCGCCCCAACATTGCCTGTCACCAACCCGACCGCTGCCTGTTGCGTCGCCTCACACCCGCTTTGCAGGGGCAAGAGAACGCCTCCCTTTCACTACCTGTTGTCAGCGTCGTGTTGTACGAGCTTCGAAGTTGGTTTTGGACGGGCTTGATGATGCAAACAAACCTCTGGTGTCATCTCTAAGCGATCTATGGCGCAGGGACTTCGATGCGACTAATGTCCTGGCTCTGATTCACAAGTCGTTGGAGGTGGCGGCGGGCCAACACGTTCACATTCACATGGGCAAGTCCAGTTGTTTATCCACCGCCGTGGCTGCGGTGCGTTCCCACACAGCACGTTGCTGCGTGAAGCGCCGCCGCTTGTCCGTAGTGCTAGTGCTAGCGGGCGTCGTTGGGTCCCGCACCAGCGTCGGCCGCGCTGACGCTGGTCTGACGCCGCCGCGCCGTTTGCAGCACCAAGGGGGACGACTCGTTCCAGAAGATGGTGCGCGTGAGCCTGGACCGGACGTTCCTGGTGACGGGCGGCTGCGACGGCCACCTGCGCGTCTGGAAGTACCCCGGCCTCGCCAAGCTGCGCGACGTCAAGGCACACGCCAAGGAGATCGACGACATTGACATCAGCCCGTCCGGATCCAAGGTGGGCTGGCGGCGAGCCGCGCCCTCTCATCCGATGCTCGCACCCGTTTGTCTGGCCGTCCGGTGCTCTCACCCCTCTGTCCGGTCATCCGGTGCGGCCATCCCTATGTCGGTTCGTCCGGTGCTCCCACCCGTGTGTCCGGTTGTCCGGTGCTCTCACCCCTTTGTCCGGTTGTCCGGTGCTCTCACCCCCTGTGTCCGGTCGTCCGGTGCTCCCATCCCCTGTCCGGTCATCCGGTGCTCTCACCCCTTTGTCCGGTCGTCCGGTGCTCCCACCCCTCTGTCTGGGTCGGTGGGGCGGGCGCGGCAGTGTTGGCGTCAGGTGGCGGGCGGTCGCTGGCTGGGTTGTTTGGTCCTAGATGCCGGGGCGCCAGCGTGACCCGGTGCCGCCGGGCCGTGACAGGTCACCACACCGGTGCAGCCGTGCGCTTCGGAACGCCGAGGTGCGTTAGGGTGCCGCCGGTCACCATGTGTCACGGACTCAGGATTCGACGGGCCTTCAGTTGGTGGACACGGTGGCAGTGCTGCGGTAGGTGCAAGCACTTTCATAACGCCGCTTTTTCAGATCGTCAGCATCGGAAAAGACAACAAGTGCAATGTTTGGAACGTCAAGGATGGAAAGAAGGTTGCCCAACTAGACTTCGATCCTCCGCAGAAGGGGTGCAAGTACATCTTCAAGAAATGCAGGTGCGTGCCGTCTTTCCGTGGTGTCTTAAGCTGCTGGCGTCAATCGATGCTATCGGCTTTCACCACACAGCTGTTTTGTTTGAACTTTTGCCATACTCAATCGAAACTCGGAACTGTTCGGTCAGAATCCGTTATAGGTTCATTTTCATCCAATGCCTGCCTCCGCACGTAAACGCCTTATTGCCCAGCCGTCTCCTGACATGGAATTCTGTCGAGATGCCGGTAAGCTGAGCTGTGACTGGGCTGACTTCTCGCCCATTGTCCCGCGTTACAGATTCGGCATTGTCGAGGGCGACAAGAACAACTTCCGCCTGTACACCCTCCACAACCCGGTGGCTTCCCGCAAGCCCGGGTACATCGTGAAGTGGAACACCACCTCCTTCGTGCCGGAGAAGATAGTAACCGTTCCAGGTGGGGGCGTGGGAGCGCGCTCGAGCGCGGCCACGCTGATGCAGCTGATTGCAGGATGTGTGCAGGGCGTCCGTTGCCTGTTGAATGTCGTGCACATCTGAGGGGCAACACATCGGCCGTTGTCGGGCTTGGACGTTGACGCCCACAAGGTTTCATGAGCACTGCGAATCTATGTATGAATGAATGTGCATATCAATGAATGAAAGAATGCGTGAATGAAATAATGCATGTTTATTTGAGTGATTGAATAAGTGAACGGTTGAATGCACGAATGAATAATGAATTAATGAATGCACATATCAATGAATGAAAGAACGCATGAATGAAAGCATGAAAGCTTAATTGAGTGATTTAATAAGTGAACGCTTGAATGCACGAATGAATCCACGTGTGGATCAATGGGTAAATGTGTGAGTGAGTAAATGAACGTATGCATGCGTAAATTGATGTATGAATGAGTGGAAGCAGACATGCAAAGTGAATGAATGAATCCTTTGAATGGACGAATGCAAATATGAATACATGAACATGTGGAGGAATTGCTGAATGCATGAATAAGTGAATCACTGGACGAACGAAAGCTTCAGTGAGTGAATGATAAGTTGTCTACCGTGTGACTGCAATCTTGACTGCTGAATTGTGGCGTCCATTGAATGTATCTTCTTACCAACTCGTACATGGTGAGATGGAGACGTCATTGGCTGTTTATGAATCGGCAGTCGCCTCCACAGTGTCACAATAACACTTGAGTGTTCGTAAGTTTAATGCCGTTGTGACCGCGCGACAGACACTGTAACAGCACGTGGTAGTCCGTACGTCGGCCGCCGCAGTCGCTGCCAGTGTCATCCCAGCCGTCCTGTACTTGGAATAGTTGTGACAACACCACATGCTGCGGCCATAACCGGTGGTATCGCATCGGTGTTGTACTGTATCCGGCCATGACTGCCCGTGTTTGCGATGCAGGCAGCCTGTCGGTGCTAGATGCGGTGTTGTGCTGTGCCCGGCCGTGACTGCCCGTGTTTGTGCTGCAGGCAGCCTGTCGGCGCTAGCCGTCAGTGACGACGGCCGTTTCCTGGCCGTGGGCTCCATGGAGACGGGCTCTGTTAGCATCTACATCAGCTTCAGCCTGCAGGTCAGGCAGCAGCGGCGGCATGTGACCGCCCTCGGCCAGCCGAGGCTGCGTCACGTGTCCTCCCTTGATCAGCGGGAGCCGTGTCACGTGATCTGACCGTGCGTGATCGCGGCTGCCGTGTTCTGTAGATCATTAAGCACACGTGTGCGCCACCGGCTCCGGCGGCTGGTGTCTGGTTCGAGCTCCGCAGCCTTGGGGTAATAGTTTCCCTTTGAACTAGGTATTCTAACAACCCAGAGCTCATAAAGATAAACAACGCTTTGAGTACAAAACACAAAGTGCGCCGTTCAGTGAGAACTCATTACAACTGTGCATTTGTTTATTTTCGGCGAAGTTGTTTTGGTGAAAAGCCTATCATATGTTTTGCTATTCAGTTGTACCGCTCTCCGCCAGATGGGTCATTATCATGCCATCTGTTCCTGTGATCCCTGACGTGCCTCCACCAGCTGCTCGGGACAGTGGACAGCGCGCACCACGCGCTCGTGGCGGGCCTGAAGCCCCCGCCGTCAGTGACGTCTGTGACCCGAGGGTGCGCCGCTGCAGCGGTCTGTGACCTGACTGTGGCCGTGACCGTGGCCGCTCGGCCCGGGCGGTGACCTGTGACCTGCCGCCGGCAGCTGCTGAAAACGGTGGAGAGCGCGCACCACACGTTCGTGACGGGCCTGGAGTTCCTGCCGTCGGGCGAGGCGGCGCGCGCCGTCACCGGCAACAGCGACGCCAGCGTGGTCAGCATCAGCGTCGACAACCAGGTCAAGATCCACCACGTGGCGCGCCGAGGTGAGTGTGTGTGTGTGTGATCGGGGCTTTACGACGCACTCAGCTGCTGAGGCTATATGGCGTCGCCTGCCTCTCACCCTGGCAGGAAGGGCGGGCACCGCGGGGCATCGAACCCCGTACCTCTGGTTTCCCAGACACGCAGTTAACGCAGACGCCCGCGCCGAGGTGAGCTCGTGCCCGAGAGGAGACACTGAGTCTGCACATCGACGGACCTGCCATGGTGCGGGACATCGCTGCTGTGATCCGCGCGATGCTCGCAGTTGGCGAAGTGGCCAAGAAACACACTGGCCACCTCAACGGCATCACACTGCGTAATCACACGAAAGGGAAGCAACCAAATCGCGCGCACAACGCTCTTGGTCACGTTGAGGCGAGCGTGCTGCCTCTGGCGACAGGACTCCGAACTACTGGTGGCGGCACAGCGGCACGACTGTTGCGCGCCAACCGGACTAGGCCGTGACAGCTGGCTGGAATAGCTGCGATATGTCGGCTCACACCGAGCGCCGGAACTAGTATTGCGTATCTAGCATCCTTATATGCGGTTAGTCCAGCTTTGGCACTGTCACGCGTGGTTTTGCCGGGCATTAGGATGGCAACACCGCACAGTCACGGTTTACCCAAAGGTGAACGGTTCGACCCAAAGGTCTGGTGGACGGCAGACCGATAACACTACACCGTCGTTGCCCCAGCCAGGGCCGTGACCTGGTGGTCCCACAGGTTTGGTGGATGGCAGACCGATAACACTACACCGTCGCTGCCCCAGCCAGGACCGTGACCTGGCGGCCCCAAAGGTTTGGTGGATGGCAGACCGATAACACTACACCGTCGCTGCCCCAGCCAGGACCGTGATCTGGCGGTCCCAAAGGTCTGGTGGACGGCAGACCGATAACACTACACCGTCGTTGCCCCAGCCAGGGCCGTGACCTGGCGGTCCCAAAGACGCCACAGTTTAGCGCGTTTTTGAGTGCTGTAGGGAAGCTGCGAACTTGGGCTCCTTGTGTCAGTATGAAAGTTAGCCAACTTAACCGGCTTGCAGTCCGAGCAGGGTTTTAGATTAGAGTTCGTGTGCCGCAAAGTCTTAAGAAATGAGCGGCTTTGCCCGAGGAAGTGCCTTCGACTTTCTCCTGATTGGCTTGTTTGTGCGTACCGCTTCCGAACAGTCCAGAGCGCGCTGAGACGGTCGTGGTCCGTGGTCCCGAAGTTCGGCCGCTCGGCATGTCTGTCTGTCTTTACGGAGCTGTCGCGCCGCGGCTGTCCCGCAGCGTCCGGGCAGACCCGGCCCGGCCTGCGCTGATGTGCTCGGGTCGCTCGTCCGAGGCTGACCCGCTCCACGCATGGCTCTGATCGCCCAGGTGTGTGGAGACCGGCTGACAGCGTGTTGTCCCCTGCGTTCGTGCTCCGCGTCCGTGTGAACCGGACGCGTGGCGTGTCCGGCAGTGGACGTCGGTGGGGACTGTCTACGCCGCCGCGGGTCCTGAGGCGGACGCAGCCACCCCCTCGCTGACCGCTCCCGCTGTTTCAGGGACCATCTCAGTGATGCTGGCCAGCCTTATAGTGGTGGTGGTGATGGTGCTGACGTTCGTCGTCTGCAGCATGTTGGGCATATGATTGGACGTGGGTTAGCACCATTCTGCGTAAGCCGAGCGTGGGACAGAAGGCTCCCGCCGGTGGATGGGGCCGCAGGCGGCTGCAGCCATATCACTGTACAAGCGCCTCGTCAAGACCAGCTGCGATGATCACTTTTCGTTTTGTTTTCTTCTCGGCAATAAGCATGCTCTAGGGGGTTGCTGGTGGCTGTACGTGTTGTGTTGTTGGTTGTACGGCGCGGGGCAATCATCGGTTGATACGTGCCCGAGCCACGCCCCGTGATAGCCCTGAACTCTGGGGTCCACGTCCTGCCTGGTGATGCGGGGTTCCGTTGTGAAGGTCGTCTGGCGTGGTGATCTGTGTCGCCGGCAACACTCGAGACATACGTTCCGTGTCGTACTGATATGTGATCGTCAAGCCACGCTTTTGTGCTTTGGAAAAGTTGTGAGTTCCTGATGTAAAATACATGGTGACTATATCTGATTAAAAACAATTATGATTGCTTCTTCGTTATGCGGGCACGCACAGCGGCAAGGTGCAGTCTGCGAGCGACGGTATACTGAAGGCCCGCAGGACTGTTATGGCGATCGCGGACGCGGGGCGCCACAGTACCATCAACGTCGGTCGCCATGGTAACGGGGAGCCTCTCCAATCACAGGCACGATCGGCTCGTCCCAGACCAGGCCATGTATATGGCAATAAGGCAGGCTGAACTGGCTGGTGTCAGGTGGCACACTGCGGTGCGTGGAAGGCGCCAGTGCTCGGGGGCCGGTGAGATAATCCAGTGGATAGGGACTGGCCAGTCACTGATGGGTGAGGACAGGTAGGACACCGCAGCCGGTGGGTCAGCTGGGGTCTCCAGGCTGTGGTTATAAGTGTCGCACTCATAAGGCAGAGATAAGTCAGACATTACAGGAAACGGATGGGACGCTGCGGTCTGCGGGAAAAGCTGGGACAATTCACTGGGCAAGGACAGTTCGTGACACTCATGGGCAGGGACAGGTGGGACATTTGAGCGGATAATGACAGGTGGGCCCCTCCAATGGAAAACGACAGTTGGGACATTCCCGTGGTTCCGGAACAGTTGGGACATTCCCATGGGTGCGGAACAGTTGGGACATTCCCGTGGATCCGGAACAGTTGGGACATTCCCGCGGGTGCGGAACAGTTGGGACATTGCCATGGGTCCGGAACAGTTGGGACATTTCCGTGGGTCCGGAACAGTTGGGACACCCCAGCAGGTATAGACTGGTGTGAACGCTACTGGATGTGGGCGGGTCGGCCACCCCAGTGGGTAAGCAGTGGCCATATGCCCGGTGGGTGTGGGGCGGGACAGACACTATTGACTGGAGGCAGGCAAGTGACTCCAGTCAGCAACGATAGGTCAGACACTTATGGACAGGGACAGGTGACTTCACTGGACAGGAACAGGTCTCAGTGGTGAGTAGTGTGGGCTGGTTAGACACATCAGGGGGTGGGGACACATGCTACAGCCCTGGTGGTCACTTCTGGACGGGTAACCTCTAGCCAGGCTGTCCATTCGCGTGGCTGCAGGACTGCTGCAGTCCTAATCGCAGTCCCGCTGAAGAAAGATAAACTCGCTTGGGACATCGCAAGGCAAAAACATTGCAAGCGATGCAATGTGCGCGAAGCATGCAAATTTAGTTTGGTTCGTGGCCGAGCACTAGGCAGATAAATTTTCACCCATGTCCACGAAACGTTATGTATATATATATATATATATATATATATATATATATATATATATATATATATACCATGTATAAGCAGACAAGAGCGTCATTTCTCAGTCTGCATCGGAGCGATGTGATGGAAGCAACCAGCGTCGGAGGTGCCTCACAGGGAGCCGACTAGATCCGGAGGCGGCACCGCGGCCGGTGGCGAGGGCGGCTCCCCAGGAGGCGGCTTAGGCAGGGGACGGAGCGCGATCAGTGCGCCGGTGCCTCAGGCAGTTCAAGTCGGAACACCGACGACGCTCCACAAGCAGGCCACCTGCCTGAGGTCTGAGCGCTGCAGCCCATTCCCTCCGGGCTGAACGTTTGGTGGTTTCCACTAGATACGGTCATTCTCAAGGAACAAAGAAAGACCAGGCGCATCGCCACATTCCATCGTTCCACGTGTGCTCCATTTTTAAGCTGCTAAGGTGCGGCGCCATCAGCGGTTGCCCTTTTTAGCAACTATGTTGACTTAGTCGGATCATCGGGCAGGTTAAGTCCATGAAACCCCGCGGAAGCAAACAGCGTGCCCTGTTGGCCTCTGAAGTGCCCGAGCGCCGGTTACCGTCCTCGCTGCAACCCGGCCCAGAGGTTTTCCGAATGGCGGTCGATGCCGTCCACCTCTATGCGGCGTTGTTGAGTTCTGTCACCGCCCACGCGGTATTGATTATTGCTGCCGCTCGCTGTCGCAGACGCAGCGCCAAAACAACATCCGCAGGCGGCGGACATATGACCGCGATTATTACCAGCGATGACTTTATCTCATTATTAATGTCCTGTTGTTTATCTACTGTGCTGCGAAATTTGATTTGCTGGGGTAAATTGAAATTGCTCCGGGATGTGGTCTGTCTTTATCATGCTGATGAGTGTTCTCGCAGACTCATATTCACTTCTCGTCAAGTTTTCCGGAGGGATGGGCGTCGCGTCGTTTGTACCTTGCCCGATTCGTTGGTGCGTAGGGTGATGTACATACATAACAGGCGCCGCAAATGTACCAAAGTTATCTGTCCAAAGTTATTATAACTAGAAATCAGAATTAAAAGTCTCAGTACCGATCACTGGCTTGGGTTGACAATGGACAACACATTATGCAGACAGGCAGCGCTTGGAAAGAAATCCCATGAAAACATTCGACACCACATGCTAATTTTTGGTGAGTAGCGCGACTCTACCGATTTGGTGGCGTGTACTTGCTGAGTTGCGGCGATTGACGGCGAACAAGCCCAAGCCCAGCTCAAGTACAGGCCGGCCATGTGGCGGAACGGTGATTCTGGATCCAGATGTGATTGAAGTCATAAGAGTTGCAAGAGACCTTTACGCAAGACGCGTCACATTATCTGTAGCGGAGTGATCTATCTTCATAACCAACTCACACACGGGCTTGCGTTCGACTCCCGTTCCGTAGGAACGTGCGCGTGAGCGCGCACCATCACGCCGACTAGACCTGGTGCCGCAGCACCGACCAGCGAAGGCCGGTATGCCGCCGCCGCGGGCTGGCATCCCATGGGGCGGACACCTCGGGGACGGGGTCGGATGTGGAATCCGGATCCGAATCCGGTCAGCCCGGACGAGAACCACCTGTGCCCTCCTCACTGGTGCCGAGGCGCCCGAACGACGACTGGCTTCGACGTATGCCCCGCCGCTCCCTGCTGTCAGAGGTCAGTCAGAGGTCATGTCTGTTACGCGGTACGGCCGGGCGACAATGGCGGCAGACGGCTTGTCAAACCCGTCCATTGGCATGGCCGGCGCCCCTCCACGGCCGCGCGCCTGCATCGGCCAACTGCCACAGGCGCGACGAGCCGCAGGAAACAGAACGTGACATGTGGCGGTCCCTTCGGGGAAACCGTGAGAGAACCTCGAGGCTGTTATGATCAAACGGAGCCCGCGATTTTGTTGCAGAACTGAAGCCGCGGCCGGACCGGCGGAACTTTGATAGCGACGTTGACGATTGTGCTGGAAGCTTTGTTTTCTAGGAGAACGGTGCTCCACAAATCACTTCGGATGGTTTTGTTATTGGGCTTGTAACAGTAACAGGCTCGCGTGTGGTCTCTTCACACAGCCTGACACCGAAGATGGGGAGACACGCTCTTCTGGTCCGCCAGGCTCACGGGAACGGCTGTGGAGGCAGTCCGCGCTGCCGGCGTTGGTACGAACACACAGGCGGAAGAGAAGGTGTGCTCCATTGGTTATGGCACGCTTTCCTATCATTCTGAACATCTGACATATTCTGACGGCGAGAAAAAAAAGTTTTCGAGCTGTATTTGTGCGTCGAAAACCCTCCGGTTATCGGTGACATGCAGGAAATCATTTCAAGCACCACGCTGCGTTTGACTCCGTGGCTGGACAGCGGCGTTCCTTCCCCGAAGGCAATGAAGTGCTTACCATGCCATACGTTCCGTGTAGCTGATGACACCCAGGGGAATAAGCGGCTCAAGATAAGAAAGACGTGGACATTCGGTATTAAGTCAGTGAAAGTGAAGAGTTACTGAGTGGGTCGCGAGCAGTGCCCAGCAGGCTCTGTTTGTGCTGTGGCAGTGTACGGCACAAACAGACCGACATGAGATCCCGTTTTTCTCAAATGATCGAATGCAGTATCGTTTGATTTGCTGGGATGACAAACTTTGTTTGCGAGGTCAGCGCTCGCGCAAAACAAGAACAACGAAGCAGTTCTATGAGTCTTAACACGTGCCCGGGTGGCCAGCTAGATAGCCTTCGTTCGGGTGGGGGTGGGGGGGGGGGGGGGGCGGGGGGGGGTCAATTTGACCCCTTCCCTAAGATCTCGGGAACTAAGAAAGCTAGAGACACTAAATTTACAAGATGTATTGAACTGTACGTGAACTCACTCGTGTCGAAGTTTCAGGCTTCTAGGTCATGACCTTCGGTCAAAAAAGGTCAAACAAAGTCAAATTCCAGGTTGGTCTCCAAAGTGCCCCCAGAACCAAGATAACCGTTTCTAAGCAGAAGGTCACATGCTCATTTAAGGTCAGTGGCCTTGTTTGACCTTTTGATGGTCAAGGCGACCAAAATCATACAAGATTACTTTGAGTTTTGCATTTGGCTAAGCGACAAAGATTACGCTAGACGGTATGTTCTTAAAAAAACGTTGACCTGGGTCATTTTGGGTTAATGACCTATCCTGACCTCTAAAAAGTCCATGGGTGATGTAAAGTGCGGTTCCTACTGTCAATAAATTCGAAATGAGCGCCAGAAACTATCCCATACAGCAAGCCCTGGAGTAACAAAACATGTTGGTTTTGACCTTGGTGTGATCTTTATACCTGACCTCAGGTCAAGCTAATATTCTCATTCAACTGTTGTGTTGTCCAAGAAAATATCTCAGAGGTGTATGGCTTTGTCTAACACTCCGTTGTTGGATCAAATTGAATGATTTCCTAGAAATTGCCTTCGCTGAAAACATGGCCTGATTTTGACCTGCCATAGGTCAGCGACCTTACAAGGTACATCTAAATTTTTTATGTCAAACGATCCACTATTCAATTGTCTACAGCTATGAAAAATTTGGCTCGGCTACCCGCGCCGTTCAGAAACCATTCTGGAAAAACCTTCGGGGGTCAGTTTGATCCCCCACCCGAGTGCGTGTTAAGCTACCCTTGCAAACCATTCGGAATCCATTCTTTGACGGATGTGCATACAGACACAGTTCAAGCTTGTGAAGTTATTCATTCATGTTAACAGGTATGCTTAGTTGTGTCATGCATGAATGTGTTCGTTTTCTTGTTTTCCAGTTCCCCGCCCC